AAATGGACGAAAAAATTGAAAAACTGCGAACAAAGATTGAAGCAGAGCAAAAGGCTGCGAAAGCGCAACTCGTTGCTCAGAAACTCGCTGTTGAAAAGAAGAAGCCAGACGATGGTAAGGTTGAATTTAAGTCTTCTGCACTTAGTTAACTTATTGAGCAATTGTGTCGTAATTTATTTAATCAGAGTAATGCTTTTATAGATTCTGATCGAGAAGATGTGAAGAAACGCCGAGCTAAAAGTCGAAGTCGATCACGTTCGAAGTCGCGATCTAGAAGTCCTAGACGGTATGTCCTTTACAGATAAACGCGGTATCCGCTCTTTTCTCTCAATTGGTCTTTGAACTTTACCAGCACATTATCATTTGCTAGTGGCGCGCTACATTGGGTGTACCCGGCGACTGACGAGGAATGCACGTGAAGTGGTCGTAAGGTGGACCAAGAGCCATTTTATCCCTGTGGTGACACTTTCTCCAAAATCAATATTTTCTATTGACCCGTGGAATTCAGGTTTTTTGGGTCGTCTATCGAGTTTACTCAGTAGTGTGAGGCGTTGCTCCTTGTCGGTTCTTCAAGCTGAAAATGTGGAATTCTTTTTTATATCGATCGATTAATACGCAGTGTCGGATTACAAGATGTGAGGCGGACGCGCGTCGACGATGACGCGCGTCGATGCGGCGTAACGGGCTACAGTTGCAACAGCGCTCTCGAAGTTATAGGCCCAACGTAGCCGCAGACGGCCAGCATCGATCGACTCTCGTCGGGAGTAAGCGGTACGTGTGTTTCTAGGCACGTAGACTATTATCGATCGGCATTGGTCCTCTGCGGCTGCGTTGTATAGCTCTGTTACACTGTTAAAATTGGAGCGGTCGACGTCTGTCATCGCGAAGTCTGAACCCTGTTACGGAAGAGGGAAGACGAGTTTGCATACATCCTTTTTCGTGGTTTGGATTTTGTGTTCCTTGGATGTTCGGATTAGTTTTTGCAGCACTGGAATCCTGAATAGCCAAACTTGCAATCCTATAAAAGCATCTCACCTAAAGGTGTTCTTTGGTTTTTGCACTTTGATCTTCTTCAAGTAGCGATACATTGTCCAGAAGCGGTCGAGCCTTTTTTTTCTTTACTACCAATCTTCCCGTTACGGCGATCCACTGAAAAATGCCATTCAGAATTCTTCAGTCTCTATGAAAGTAATGACATCTAATGCTGGTAAGGGGTAGCTTTTATTTGGGGGAACTAGTAGGCATGGTAGCTGGTACATGGGCTAAACGAAGTCAGTAGGAATTTTCGCTATTTTTTGCACCGTCTAAAGCTGAATAGTAGCCAGATGATCGATTTCTTGCGTGAGCAGAGAAAAAGACGTTTTATTCTCTTTCCTCTGATGGGATATTGAGTTTTTAGGAAACCGTATTCGCCTGTTCGACGAAGACGTGATTCCCCTGAGAAGAACGGACGGAATAAAGCTCGTGGAGGAAAAGGTGGACGAGACGATAGACGGGACAGAGAAAGGCGAGATGATAGACGAGACGATAAACGGAGACGGAGTAGGAGTCGTAGTAAAAGCCGGGATCGCTATTTAGACCGAGAACGAATTAAGGTATGGTGTTGCTCAATATTGTTCCTTGAACGCCATTTGTGCTTACGTTCGCATCGGAATGCATCAGAGTGGTGGGCACTATTTACAATTTACTGCCCCAATCATCCGAAAACAACCCAGGTTTTG